GTTGCAGGGGGCTGGTGTGACCCAAGCGCGGGACCTGGCACTTGGCTTTACCGTTCTGAACTTCCTCAGGAGAGAGCTCTGCGTTGGTGGTTGTGCCTCGCTGCTGCGAGCGGGCTCCTCCATGCTGGTGACGTGTTAACGAAGCAGCGCCGGCCCCGTGACCCCCTCTCCTTTTCCTTTCTGCAGGAGCTCAGTGTGGCTCTGTACAGGCACCTCCTTGGCCTTCGGGAGGGCGAGGGCAGCCCGGAGCAGCCTGCAGCCGGCCAGGATCTGAACCTCCTGTGCTGTGACATCGATCCGGCGCTGATCGCCAGGGCGCAGCGGTGCAGCCCCTTTCCCGCCTCCATCTCCTTCGCCAGCCAGGACATCATGGACCGCGCAGCCCGGGAGCCGTTCCGGCGCTCCTACCTGAGCCGTTTCGGCCGCTCCACCTTCGACATCGGTTTTTGCATGTCCGTGACCATGTGGATCCACCTGAACCATGGGGACAGCGGCTTGCTGGAGTTCCTGTCCTTCCTCGCCTCTCGGTGCCGGTACCTGCTGGTGGAACCGCAGCCCTGGAAGTGCTACAGGGCGGCCGCGCGGCGCCTGCGGAAGCTGGGCAGGAATGACTTCGATCACTTCCGCTCTCTCGCTATCAACGGGGATATGGCGGAGAGGATAACGCAGATCCTGACGAGGGACTGTGCCATGGAGCTCGTCTGTTGCTTTGGGAGCACCAGCTGGGACAGGAGGCTCTTGCTTTTTAAATCAAACGGCTCAAATCAGGAGGGCGAGGAGTCTTCAGAACAGGAGCAGTGACGGAGAAGTGGCCTCGTGTTCATGAATTCACAGGTGGGGAGGTGCGTGCTGTTTGCAGAGGCAGCTCTAGGAATTCCTAAAACCCTCCTGAGACCAGACCTCGACCTGCCTAAGGAGCTGGAGGCAAGTCATTTCTCTGCGATTTTTTTTCTTTTTTTCCTTTCCATCTGCGAAACGCGGTGGCAGTTTTAACGTCCTGTGTGGGTTCTGAGGTTGCTGTTCCCAGACAGCGCTCTTGAAATCAGAGTTGCTACGTGTGTGCTTTCTGTGGGTGCCAAGAATACCCACTGGAGGAAGACAGAACGTGTCTTTTTTGTCTCTGGAGCTTTTCAAGGAAAAGCTTTTTTTGACATCGACCCACGCGATGCACTGTTCTGCTTCTTCTCGTGTTTTCTGTACAAAATACTCTTGGAAAACACACAGACCTGCTTTCCCAGCTGTGAACTGGGAGTTGGATCGTCGCAGAGGGTGTCTGGTCAATAGGTTGCCCCGAGAGGTGGTGGAGCCCCATTGCTGGAAACACTCAAGGTCGGGCTGGCCGGGCTCTGAGCGAGCTGGAGATGTCCCTGCGCGTGGCAGGGGCTGGGCGAGGTGACCGCTGAAGGTCCCTTCCAGCCCAGACCCTCCTGTGGTTCTCTGGTACTGGTCAGACTGGGATCAGCGCAGACGGGGGTTGCCCGGAGCGGGATTTTTCCGAGGGGTTTCTGTGGGAGGATGTGAATTTGTGTCAGTGGATAACAGAGCGAGTGCTTTTTGTAATAATATCCTTGAAATAAAAAGAACTTCATTTCATCATAAATCTTGTGTGAGGTTTTTTTTTTAGTCTTTCTTTTTTGTTCATGTTGTTTTCAACACCTAAGCAGTCCCAGTTTCTAATTTCACCGTATTCGCAGGCTCAGACGAGGCTTTGGTGAGTTTGAGGCTGTGTTTCCCTGAGGTTAAAGTATTGCAGCTTTCACTGGATTGTGTGGGTTTTTAAATTTTTTCAGTGAAATCTGGGAAGAAGGAAAACTTGAGCAAAATGTCCTCTTTTCATTTTTCTTTTTTTAATATCCTGCCTAGCTTTAGTTCATACACGGCGGGTTTCTTAGCTGCGATAGTAAGCCGGAGTCCCACTTCTAAACAAGCCGAAAAGCTCCCTGGAGTAGACTGTGCCACGCGGATACAGATCACTGATGACTTTTATGAATTTCTAGGGTCTGCTGCTTCCTTACGGCGAAGTGAGAGGGACGCTCCGGTGTGTGCCGTCAGCGATGGGATGTTCTTGCGCCCAGGTGAGCCCGTGTGTAGGAGCAGAGAGGAGCTCTGGTTGCATTTTTATGTCCTTCCTGGGATTTCCTTGTTCTTTACTTGTGCAGTGACTGTAGCAGGGGGAGAGAAAGCTTTTCTTTCTCTCTTTTCTTTCTTTTATTTCTCAAGTGCAGCGTGTGAGTGTCCTGGCTGGCCTGAAGGGCTGCTGGGATCCGCGGATAACTTGGGAAAAAGCACGTGTGTGTGTGTGTGTACGTATGTTTAAAGAGACTCAGTAGGGTCACGGAAAAGTTCCATAAATGCAACTTCCACAGCGTTCTGCTACGTGGAGAATAGTTGCGACTCCTACCAGGAGTCCTGAGAGCTCCTCTGCCTTCTTGGCTGCAAACAGCCGTGCCATCCCGTGCCGTGGTTGTGGGATTTCTCGGAGATTTTTAAGCCTGGGCTGATTTTACTCTCCCTGGGGGAGTGAAGGGAGAACCATTTTGTTGTGGATTTTCCTGAGGGTTCACCCAGGTGCCCAATCTCTCTCTTGCAGTTCATGAATAGAAAACATTTATCGCTTTGGTCATTCAGCACCTCGCCTGGTCAATCCCTGGGCTGGGTGTTGGCTCCCGCAGCGCTGCCGGCAGCTCTCCTGCCTGGCTGCTGTTCCCTGTGCTGCGCGGCTGGTGGCACTGGAGGATCGCGCAACCTCCGGCCTCGCCCCTCGGGATGTTTCTGTTGGGTTGTGTCAATATTAGTTGCTGTTTTCTTTGAACTTTGAAATATTTATAAAATAGACCTGGGCTTATCTGTTCAGAGCTCGGGCTCAAATGGGTGAACGGGGTTGCTTGCCTTTTGTTTTCCTCTGGGGATTTACACACTCGCCTGGGGAAAAAAATGATGGAGAGTTGTTAGGAAGGTAGATAACCCAAAGAATTACACGCAGGAGACATCCCCTGTGCCCATCTGGAATGACCCTGCCCTTCAAAGAGACCCTGGCTGATGTTCCTGTGCACTGAGGATCAGTGTCTGTCCTTTGGGGCTGCTGCTTGTTGGAAGTGGGTTGGTTTGTTTTCTCCTTTTTTTCCCCAGCCTTTATATGCCCAGACCTGCAAACCAGCCCCATGTGTACCTGACAGTGGGATGACTTTTTATCTCTCTCTCAGGTTTGTGCTGTTGCTAATATCTCTGTGTCCCCTGTCCCAGAAACGGCCGAGCTCCAGAACGAGCTCTGTTCGCCTTTGTCACAGCGGCGTGTTTTGTTTCTCATCCTTTGGATATTGCCACAAATACAGCTCCAAAGAATGTCACCACGAATCTCTCTGCAGTTCTGGGGGTACTGAGGAGCTCAAAATGGAGTCGGTGCTTTAGCAGACAGGAGAAAAAACCAAGAAAAATCTCTTTCCTTTCCTTTTCAGCTTGCTGCTTCTGCTCTCCAGAAAGCTGTTGGGAGGTGAGGCAGGTGGGAACCCGGCTCCAGGACACAGCGACGGAGGAGAGCCTGTGGATCCCAACGGCAGTGCTTGTGTAAGGCTCTGGAGAATTATTTTTTTTTTAATACTCTGCTCTCTCTGCGTTTTGCAATGTGGCTCAAATGTGTTCCCAGCTCTCCTGAAGGCAGGACAGAAGGAGAGGAAAAATGAGGGTGAAAGCGCCGCTTCCGCTCCCTGCTGCCGAGAGCACTTTGTGAAGTTGGTTTGTGATTGTTCATCGTGCAGCTGGTGGAAGGGAGATGCCCCTCGCTTGCATGTCCTGGGGATGGTTACCTGTGTAGAGCTCGGGGTGAGCAGCCTCTGCGTGCTCAGCTCCTCCGGGGCCAGCCTGGGGTGGCTGGTGCTGAAACAAGGGGAGATGCCCCCAGAGGAGCCACGGAGATGG